AAACACAGCACAAATGTCGCGAGCAGCTTTTGAGACCCTAGAATCTTGACGAAAAGCAAAAGGTGTCGAAAATACTCATTTTTCCCAACGACATGATATTTTAAAGACCTGAAAAATAAATCAAAATTGACATACGTTAACTAGCACAAAAGGGAAAAACATCTTTCGAGTGATTTACAGCATTAGGACTAAATCATTTAATGGCATGTGGAATGTAAAAATTGCAAAACCGCGAGAACTTAGTTGCATAACTAATAGAGTTCTCCATTGGACAAAGATAACGGTTGCTGAACACGATGACTTCTATCTTGGTCACTCTATATACCGCTCTACAAATGCGTACTAGTGTCGTTCAGTAGTCTGCTATTATTCACACCTTCGGCTTCCCGTGCGTTTTCAATGAAAAACCTAGGGGCCTGGTTTCTTAATTAGAGACTTCCTATCGATAAGTAACAGCCGCCCTGAATGACTTTGTACGTCTATCCGTGTGAAACTGCAAAGATATTGTTAAATAGTTGGTGTTTTCTTACTTTGATTCAGTACAATGCATTACCTTTAATGTTGGTCGCAGACCTAAACCAATGACTTAGAAAGCCCTACCCCATTTTGTTTTGTCACTGAGAGTTCCCACGCAACGCAAACATTTCCGTATCACCTGAAAATGGGGCATCTCCTGAAAAATGGCTGATCAGAACTAAGTAAATGGCTGTGAAACTGAGTAAACGTCTCAAAAGTCAACCGGAGTGATTTGTACCTACCAGTGGCTCTGAACCGTTACAATGCAACTTTGCACAAATGTTTCACTGCGAGTTAACTGGTCTTTCCATCCAAGGGTGGAATATGATTACTCATGCATCAGATAACAATGCAATCGTCACGTCATATTGGTTGAACAAACAGACAGCTCAAATTTCTGTACAGGCACATGGTTAATTGGTTGACTCACTCAGAACCCGAAGATATGCTCTTTGCTCCATTGCGTCCAAATTCACCAATGTGTAGCATTGAAATGTTCCGTCAAATTCTCTTGCCACTCTTTTTAGATGCAAGGTGTGCAGCTGCCTGGCTGTGATCAGTGCATTGTCTGTCTCATTTAACCGCGGATCGTTAAGACTAGCCATGTCTTTCGTTGCCAATATACTAGTATACTGGTTGACAAATTCGCACAGCTTTGGTGGATCGGGACATCGGGCCAGATCATCATCTTGATGCATAAATGCCCAGTTCGCAGGTGGAGCGGGTTGGGTACTATGTCGAAACCTCCATATCACGTATACGCTATCCTCAGCGATTGGTGAACGCGTTAGGAAACAACGGAGGACGACTGACTGATTTTCACCTTCGTACACTTGTTTTGGCTCCATAGTTAACAGCAGGTCCTTGGCAAAAACTGAAGAGTACAAAGATATTGAGATATGCAATTTCTGACGTCGAAACTTAGCGTTTTAGTGTTTGTAAAGAACATAGTACTGATACACTTAACAGGAGATGCACAGACGAAGATGGCAAACTTGTGCGTGGTGAACAACGTGTTGAATCGCAGTTGCATTACCAGAGCCTGGTATTAGTTCGGGTTGTTTAATTCGACAAACCGAAGAGCAATTGTTTTCGGATAACTACGTCTTCGGAGCGGTCACTTGAGATAAAACACGCTTTACAAGATTTGCATGAATTCTACCCAAACAAGCATCACTCTCTTCAACAAAAGCAACTAGTTCACTAGTAGAAGGATGACATTCATCGATGTTTAGAGATGGTCGGAGTCAGTCAGTTTTGTTAAGCGCAAAAGTTACTAATAACACCTTCAGGAATGGCTTCTGTCTTTACTATGGTAATGTGCACTGAATTTTTCTGTTCTACGGTGTACACATACAACGCTGCAACACACAGAATCTCCGATAAATAGACGAGTCACCCTAGCTGATTTAAGTAAAAACTCAAGCCAAATTCGTGATGATCAACCATAGTGAGGCGCAGATTTGACAGAGTTTGTACATCTGTGATCAGCAAGGTTGAGGAAACCTTACGAAGGTGGGCGAAAGTATACCTTCGCTAATCGGACGTCAGGTATTACAGGGTGTTGGGTGCAGATGCCATCAAAAGCTGTGAACAAGCAGAAAGCGCAACATCAGCAGGTGACCCTTAGTTTGTTTCCTTCAGTCAGTACCAGATTTATTGAATGTAATGCAGGAAGAACAGACCTGAGACCTCTCAATAAATCCAATGCATTATGACACCATTGAGGGCAGCAAAATTCAGTATTACCTAGAAACATCATGAATTAGACCCAGGAACATGCCTCTTTAATGTAGAATATTCGTTAAGTTATTTACGGGTGACGCGAAGCATGAAAAACCTCTACCGTTGCACGCAGGGCTTCGTTAGAAAACATCTAGAAAGATGTGTAAAGTAGTAACCTCCAGGCTTACATCCAGCTGTCCACATCACCCTTGGTAGCATTATCCGCACAGATATTCCTCCTGTTTTTGTAGCTTCGCGTTTATTCAAGATAACTGGGTGATAAAAGAGACGAATAACACGAGCCCCCTTTGTATTTATCGTTATGGAACCAAAGTTTCCATTATCCATAAGCATCTATATGCGATTGTCATCGCTTTTTGTTGAATTACGCTTTACCGATGGACCAGTCGACTTTGTACCCGATTAAAACGGCTACAGGCCATTGAAACAAACCTCACTTAGCCACTGCAGAGCTTCGGTAATCGTACCACGCTCGTTGTAAGCCAGCCAATCCTACGGCATTCTGTTTGTACTGAATACCATTCCTCAATGCTTCAAATGCAATAAACTATGGTCAAATATTTATTATGGGTGAAAGAGCTTTATGAGTCCCGTTGGATGTTCTAGCTACGGTTTTCGTACTATTGTCAAAGGGAGACCGAAAACATTTTACATAAAAGCAGCCGCTTCTCTTCACATGTACATGACAGAGGTGGCTACATTAAGGACGCACCCCCTATTTGGGAAGGGATGTTTCACTACCTTCCTAAACCTAGCAAATGACCCCTTACTACCGGCTCAGACCATACAACAAATAGCGTCATATGTCAAGCTCTCGCATTCAAACACCCAGCAGGCCATGAAGTCCGTCGACCCATGGTTCAATTTGCATTCCGATGAGACCGCTTGGGGACTGTTATAACGCTTACTTTTCTGAACATTTGCACCTTACCAGTAGAATCTGCTAACTTTCTGCATCAGTAGAAAATATCGTTTATTACCTCTGGTCATCAAGGGGCGCCAAACAGAAGGTTGCTAAGTATCAGCCTATCCATCATACACTTATAATTGTCAGGCTGTTCAAAAAAGCAATTGAAAATGGAATTCTAAGTTTTCTCTTTCGTCCTAAATTGTTTAACAAATCCCACATTGGGTTCCTCGATAAATGTTCCTGGACAAATTCTCAGTTGTACTGCCTGGATTACATCTCAGAATCCACTGACTCCAGTTATGCAGTTATAATTTTATTCCCGGATATGCAGTAAGTAGTTGAGCAACTACCTCATAAGCTGAAGAAAATCTACTCTTTTGGGATCAGAGACCGACCACTGGATTTGCTGATCTCGAGCCTGAATGGGCGTGCCCAGATAGTCTCTCAGAATGACCACTACTTGCCTTCAGTTCTAATCACAAATGGAGTAATCCAAAGCATCGCAGTTGGTCCTTTCATTGTCTCGCTCTATATTAAGAGTATCAAAACCTTCACCATGGCTGACCGCTTTTCTTACCTACGACATTAAGCTCGGTGAACATTTTGACGCGAATAACTCCAGAGCACAGTTGCACATTCAAGAAGACATGGACTTACTCGAGAAATGATGTGCCACATAGCTGATGAAGTTCTCAGCTAACAAATCAGGCATCATTTCCCACGGATGTTCCAACCCTGGAGAGTCATTTGAACTCAATACATTACGTATGTGTGTGAAACTGTGTAACTGTGATTTAAGAATAAGTTACTCATCAAAATCTAACATCTCAGAGCGCCAAAAGACCTATGACTAACATATACCATAAATCTAATCTGTCCCTGTCAAAATCGAACTTTTCAAAATCCTCTTCATATCCCTAACTACTGTAGCATAATTTATACGATGATGTGGTAGGGTGGCAGAAGAATTTCTGCAAAACTGCAATGAGCATTCACTAAAAGTATTTTTAATTAATCGTTCACCTTGAGTTGTCAGGAGTGTTGGCCGCAGCTTCACTTAGACAGAAACGTAACCTGACGCTCATGAGCAATCTCACAAACCAACAGACATACTCCAATCTGTAAACATTAGATCTTCGACTCAACTTCACCCGTAGGTATCACATCATGACTGGTAAACTAATCGTACCGAGAACCAGAGCAGCCATTCGATCTAACTTCTTTCTCCTCAGATATGCTTTCCTATGCAATAGGCTACCATACACTATCAGGTATTGCGCACACGCAAGAACATTCCGCATCCAACTAGTAAGTTTTCTAGATGAAAATTCTACAATGACCATGCTTCTATTAAAAAAAACCATCAAATGCGTTCTTCCAGACTGGATCAAGGAACATATATCCAGTGAGAAAAGTGTTTGTACTAAGCTAAGTATCAACTGGATGTCTGTATAACACAGATGCAACTGAATACTTAGCCCCTTTTGTATAGGCATGATCACAACTGTCCAAATGATCTGTCCTACTTCGCAGATAGCCCCTCGCACATTCGAGAAATACAAGTATCATTTTAAGTGAGATCGTGCTTTTACTATAACTGCCATTCATGATTTGCCCATCCGACGTGGATTCGAATGCGTGCCTTAAGCATTTATGAGAGTATTGTAGTCTACTTCTTTGGAGGAACTGCACGAGAGTCAAACGTGTTGACTGCTCTCCTTCTGTGCTTCTGTCAAAAATCTGGCATAACCCGCATCATTCGGAACCATTTCACCTGTCTTTCATTCGACAGAATAGCTCCTCAGTAAATGTACATCGGTCCTGCAGTTAGACATGCTCCGGGGTCGTGTGAGGAGTACTCTGTATTTGGTAACTGAAGCGCAGTGAGTTTCGGGCCACCCACTTATGCACCCCATCTAAGTCACACTGGGAAAGTTGCTGATCAAACTTGGCCTCAGTATTTCGCCGCATTTAAGCATCATTAGTAAGAAATAGGATATTTGAAACAATAAATATCAGTGGACTAATAAGTATCACAAAAGGCAGATGTGAACGGGGCACCGTGCCATCGGTACGCCACATTGAAGTAAGTCTTGGAATCCGGGCTCCAATCGTTAGGTGTTGCTGAGTAAGTAGTTAGTGGTCCAACCCTAAATGCAGTCCCCGAAACCCTGATTTGGGGGTTAAAAGTGGGGTCCGACGATCTAGGTAAGTAGATGTTGTTGAGACATCCAGGCGACTGCTGTTATCACATGGTGCACAATCACTCGCGACGAAAGCCGTGCTCCTCAAAAACGAGGAAATCCCAGTGTTCAAATTAGGCCGAGCACTTATTGATAACGATGGATTACATGAACTTGGAAAGTATGAGGAAATGGGTTGCCAGATGGCACTTCGAAGGCTAGGTCCTGTCTTACGATTATCCTGTCTTCAGAGCGTTCTGGTTCACAAATGAATAGACCAAAATCTCTGCCAAATTTATTAGTGTGAATAACAGTACACTTAAACATGCGACTTCCACTTCAAAGAAGACGTGCATACATACCGACATCAGCTTTCTTAGTGTTATTTTAGCAGTAAACCGGGAGCGACTGAGTCCTGCTGGCAGGACAATATAAGCACGAATGCCACACTACCGCCCAATCTGTCGAAATCTGGATATGAATCGCACCTACAGAGCATCAATCGTCTTTTTTGGGGGGGAGGAGGGGTTTGTCAGTACATTACATATATGCAGAACTGCGGAAACACATTCGATGCTTTTCGAACTTTCTTGCAAATGGTTCATGTTTAGTGAGCAAAGTTCTTACTATGTTTGACGAATGCCTTACGGTCGCGGAGCACTTAAACATAATGACGACCATCGATTATATTGCTATTACAGATATCGGTTATGGGATGAGTTGATAAACTTGTCATGCTGCGCCTTGCATTGTTGTAGATCTACGCAAACCATTCAATGACGCTGAAGTGCGCGTACCTCAGCAGTATGTGTTGTACCACTGCTTACATATATACGCCTTGTCGGGTTCCTTCACCAACTCCGGTAGTTGTTTCCCCTTTCTCCAGCCAGAGCATCGATTTACATTTCTTTTTTTGCGCATTTTGAAACGCTGTGGCAGCCCAGCTCAACGCGATAGCTGCCTTCCACAATATCACTGGGTGTGAACTGTCCAGCTGACATTCTCCCCT